ATGATGAACTTGGAGCAACTAAAGTGAGGTGGTGTGTTGTGAGCTGTTAAAAATCTGTTACAGCTGTTAGTTTTTTGGAAAATAACATAATTTAACAGCATGGCACTTTAGTTGGTTTTGGTTACTAGTTGTACTATTCTCTCGTGTGTATATATACATTGTTGTAATCCCAATTCAATGTTAATGCCACTTTTGATTCACCAATATTACTCTCTACCCCAATTCTCTCTCTCTCTCTCTCTCATTTCATCTTTATCGAGTTTCTTTTCACCATTGTTACTACCTTCAAAGCTCTAGTTTTATGTTTTATGTTGTTTTAACACTTCAGTTAAATACTTATTTAAGTATATTAACAAGGGGTATGATAGAATTACTGGTGCTGTTGTCCAAACTGACGGTGATGGATCTCCTTCGGTCAGAATGGTTGACGAAATCAAGCAATATCTTGATTGCAGATATATCTCACCAAGTGAGGCATGTTGGAGACTTTTTTCATTTCCTATTCATGGTAGATCACCTGCAGTTGAAAGGTTGTTCTTTCATCTTAAAGGAGACAACTCTGTTTATTATACCGATTATGAATTGATAGATGAGGTGCTTGACAAACCAACTGTGAAAGAATCTATGTTTACGGCATGGATGGAAGCAAACAAAGCATACCCAGAGGCAAAGAATTTGACGTACTCACAATTTCTTTCCAAATTTGTTTATGATAAAAGATACCGTCGATGGAGACCGCGTAAAAGAGGAAATACAATTGGCAGACTTATTTGGGTCCCTCCAAGTACGGGTGAGTTATATTTCTTGAGAATGATGCTAACAGTCGTCAAAGGTCCAACTTGCTATGAGGATATAAAATTTGTGGGTGGAAAAGTTCAGGATTCTTTTAGGGATGCATGCTTCGAAATGGGCTTTCTTAACGATGACAAGGAATACGTTGCAGCCATCGACGAAGCAAAGAATTGGGGTTCTGGGCTATTCTTGCTTCAACCATTGAAGTTGTGGACAAAATCAATCATTATGTATTAGACTTGATACCAGGTACATGTGTTTTATATTTACTGTATTATTACATTCATAATATATATATATATATATATATATATATATATATATATATATATATATATATATATATATATATATATATATATATATATATATATATATATATATATATATATATATATATATATATATATATATATTTAAGAACATAGTTTTACTAATTTATTTATGTTTTGCTTTTAAACTTTTTTTTAGGAGAAGAGAAAGAGTATTTGAGTTTTGATTCCATTGATAGAACAAATTCAAGTTATACTGAAGCATATGAAGTTCTAACTCCTGAATTTCTCAGTAAACTAAGAACGTCAGGGCTTCCCAATCATAGGATCAAATTGAAGGTTGGTACACCTATTATGCTAATGAGAAATTTGGACCAAGCCGATGGGTTGTGCAACGGAACAAGATTAATTGTTACAAGATTTGCAAATCATGTCATTGAGGCAAAAATCATGTCTGGAAAGAACATAGGTAACATTTTTTACATTCCACGAATGTCTATGTCACCTTCTGATTCACCTTGGCCATTCAAGTTGATTAGGAGACAATTTCCGATTATTGTCTCCTATGCAATGACAATTAATAAGTCACAAGGTCAATCTCTTGATAGTGTTGGATTGTATTTGCCTACTCCTGTGTTTAGTCATGGTCAATTATATGTTGCAATTTCAAGAGTTAAGAGCAAAAGTGGGCTAAAAATCCTAATTCATGACAAGGAGAATGTACCGTGTTCTACTACTACTAATGTTGTGTACAAGGAAGTCTTTCAAGCACTTTGATAGTTGGTAAACTTTATATCTTATACTTTACGATTCAAATTAAAAATCTATTTTGAATTAAAATATATAGTATGTACATTTTCCATGTATTTCAAGAAGTATATAATTTTTCCTATTTGTTCATGCAGACGTGATTTGTTGATAGGACCGACGCTTGCTACAAATATGGAGTTAAATGCCAACATGGTTTACATGAGACATATACTCAACTGAAAACATGGTAACATACTTAATAATTTAATAATCTATAAATGTAATGTGAATCCAGACGAGACCCGTGCGATAGCACGGGGTTGTTACTAGTTCAATTAAAAAAGTCTACTATTAATAATGTGTAATGTGTATGTCAAAGCGGATGGATATAAATGTATCTATGAGATGTTAATTGTAGATTATTTAATGACCATCTCTAAAACTTTTTTCACTGTAGTTTATATATCTCTCAAACTTTTTTCCACTGTTGTTTATATAATTGAAGTTAAAAAATCGATTGTACAATTTACTATAATTACGAATCAATTTTTAAAAGTTAATGCATGTTATTAATTTATATTTGTAATTATATAAATATAAATCAATTTAAAAATTAATTTATATTTTATAATTGATGATCTCATAAACATGTAATATAAATCTAGACAAAACTCGAACAATAACACAACTTTCTTAATAGTTCGTGATAAAGGTCGAAGATATTAAGAGCATTGAAAAGAAAAAGAGGGAGGACACATGTGATAAGTGGTACTGTCCTTCACCTAGAGGAAACACAATGCAATGTCATTTTATCATACACATCAACCTAGCCTAGTAGTAAACACAGTACAAGTTTGTTGTCTTGAAAGGACTAAATTTATTATTGTAATGCAAATTGATGATAGGACTAACAATGATTTTTGTCGTATAGTATAGCTTATAACAACAGTCCCATTAGAATACGCACTTATCATTATCACTTATCGTTTTTGATCCGAGCACACAGAAAACCAAACCAAAACCTCTGACTCTTCTCATACCTCAAAAGTCTTAAAACCTTATCCACTCCACTATCCTATTATACTCCAATTATTTCTCTTTTTTATATTATCATCATTAATAATACAGTACTATTGTAAGTATTATCCTATCTTATCACAAAGAAAAACACCTTTTCTTTGTTCTTAAAACTAGTAATATTTATTCATTCACTCTTTTCTAACACAACACAAACATAGAACAAACAACAACATAAACACAAACAACCTTGCCGTTGATGGAAAATTGTCTTCACCACCTTACAATCAAAGGATTCTTCTTCACAAAACCTATTTCTTTTTCATCTTCTTCTTCTTCTTTGAACTTTAGGTTCAGCAACAGCAACAAGTTGAAGGTGATTAAGGCGAGTGCTGGAGCTAGCCACTGCCAGTTCAGTAGTCTGAACTCTCCTTTGTTACCACAATCCACGGTTGGGATTTTTCTTAGCGGTGTTTTGCAGAATCATCGTAATCTCTTTCATGTTGCTGTTCAAGAGGAACTTAAACTATTGGCTGATGATCGAGATGCTGCAGTTTCTCGTATGATCCTTAGTTCTGATTCTGATCAAGCCTTGCTTCATAGGTAAAAATTAAGAGCTTTAATTAATCTTGATCATGTATCGTATGTACTAATCATCCATCTATGATTGTTACCTAATTAAGTCTATCTTTGATTTCACTTTTGGAGCAGTTAAAATTGATTCTGAAAAGTTTTGTTGCTTTTGACTTTAGAATTCATTCTAACTTTTGAAGATTTTTACCCTGATTTACATAAACTAATTTGTATTGTTAAATCAAACTATAAACTACAATTTACATTCAACTTCTTTTTAAATAAAATCAATTCGATTCATTTAATTCCTTACAAGTAGATATAAGTAGTAGGTGACTCGCAGATATCTGATAACAAGTGGTCCAACAGATTTTTGATAAGCTCTGATATTATCTTAGAAATGTGATTTATGCCTATGTCCCAATAGCAATAGCATATACTTGATACCAGGTGGTCCAAAAGATGTGACTTATGCCTATGGCCCGATAGTAGAGATAGATACCCGACACCGGGTGGTCCAACAAATTTTGGATAAGATCTGATACTATCTTAAAAAGAAATGTGATTTAAGCCTAACTTAGTCCTACAAAAATACTATCTATGTTGATGTTGTAATAGTACAATTGTAATTTGTAGATATTCGTTGAAAAACTATTGACTTAAAAACCTTTTCTGAAATGCCTGCAGGAGGATTGCACAAATAAAAGAGAATCAATGTGAAGTTGCTGTAGAAGATGTTATGTCCTTGTTGATATTTTACAAGTTTTCTGAAATTCGGGTCCCTTTGGTTCCAAAGCTTTCAAGTTGTCTTTACAATGGAAGGCTAGAGATATTGCCTTCTAAAGATTGGGAGCTAGAGTCTATTCACACCTTAGAAGTTTTGGATATAATAAGGGAACACATAACCACCGTAACCGGCTTGAAAGCAAAACCTAGTGTAACCGAAAGTTGGGCAACTACCAAAGTTAGACAATTCTTACTCGCACGCTTATACGTCGCTTCAATATTATACGGTTACTTTTTGAAATCAGTTTCCTTAAGATACCATCTAGAAAGAAACCTAAATTTGGCTAACAATGATGTTCATCTTGGTCATATGACTACTAACCTCACATTTAAAGATATGTATCCTTATGGATTCGAGGAAGACATCTTTGGTCATTTGAATAACATGCAATCGATCGGGCACGGGCAAGGGCTAATTCGATGCGAAGAGGAAATCGAAGATTTGAAGTGTTATGTTATGAAGTTTCACCCTGGATCATTGCAGAGGTGTGCTAAATTGAGGTCTAAGGAGGCTGTGAATTTGGTTAGGAGTTATAGTTGTGCACTTTTTAACAATGAAGGGTTTGATTCTGTTGAGAATGATGATGTTATTTTGACTTCATTCTCTAGTCTTAAAAGACTAGTCTTGGAAGCTGTTGCCTTTGGATCATTCTTGTGGGAAACAGAAGATTACATTGACAATGTATATAAGCTGAAGGATCATTAAGATAGAAGTAAACAATCATTTTGATCTTTGAATGCATTTGAGTACCATCGTTACATATCTTCCGTTAGTCAGGTTGGTCCATCAAATACTAATGGATAACAGAATCAATGTTGTTTTCGTATTTTGATACATTCAAAGACTATAGTGACACCGTCGACCAAAATGAAGGCGCGGGATAAGTTCCAATGTTCATTGAGCGAATTCCTGTTGTATATAGTGAGTTTTGTTTTTAGGTTCTGAGTGATAATTTGGTTATGTTTATTTGGTATATAGTACACATTTTTATTTACCTTGTACAATGTGTATATGTATCTATATATGTTTTGAATATTTTCCAGCATTTTTTTATGATGGTTATGATATGATATAATTAAAGAGAAGAAATCTGTTTTCATATTTGCACAGAAATGGAGTTGAGTTTAAAGATTCAAGTATGGCACCAAAACTATGGTTTAACTGCATAATTGAAGAACCTTGCAAGTCTAGATGATTTATATTTGAACCTTCTAATAGTACTCTGCCACAAAGTGGTTAGTTGGTGAAGTTTGAGAATTTCACAATCCTTGTATAGGTAAAAATAATATTTTAAAAGTTGATGTATGTGGACTGAAACAGCAATTATTTAAATACTCTTTTTATTAATTTTGTTTAGGAGGGTGTAACTATTTTCTATAAAGCAAATGGAAGTACATAACACACCCATTAGCACATATCTAACACACTATAACGGTTATATATTCAAAATAGTTTTAGCTAGTTGTAACTACGGACTTTTTAAAAAGTTAAAAATGAAAAAGGAATAATTATTTTTAATAAGAGATTTGTTTTGGGTCGGATCATCTAATATGGTCGGTCAAATTTAAAGGTTCAATTCATAGGTTCGATTGTTTAAAGATGACGAACATTTAAATCTTCATCAAAAGATCAGAACACAGCATCACACTCATGGGAGTTATTGGGTTTAATTCAACGGTCTTCTAGATTCCACGTTTTCGCTCGTCAGCGGCGGTTTAAACTAACACATATATGAGCAATGATGCACGCCACACAAAGGTACGATTCTTTCACTATTACAAATTACTTTTTTTTTTTTCTCTAGTTGACTTGAATGTTTAAGTGATAATATTGAAAGTACTCCTTCTTCCTCACTCACTAGTAACTTTTACAACATATTATTAATAGTTATTTTTAAAGAAAATTAAACTATATATTTTAAAGTTAAACATTAAATTCTTATTATTAAAATTATCAATCGTTAGTTAGTTCAGTGGTGATTGGCAATAAATTTGATAGGGAGGACCACAGTTTGATCCTCACAACTGCGATCGGAAGGAGACTGGAACCACTTAATGTCAGGGGATGTTTTTGAAGGACTTAATCTTACTAAGACTTTAGTTTTGTGTAAGGTTGAAATTAATGTGTATTTCATTGTTATGGTGAAGACATAGAGAATGAAAGGTCGAGTATGGTTGAAGGTTTGGCCTTAATTAAGCAGATTTAGAGGTTATTTGATGATCATGAGGTTGTGAAGGTGGTGCACTCTTTTAGAGTAAAAAATAAGTGGCGATGTATTAGCTAATATAATATATACTTTAGACTTTGAGTTTAGACTTTTTCCATGTTTAACTTCTGATTGATACATTTAAAAAATGAGAAACTTACCAATTATGAGATGTAGACGATTTTTGATTGAATGAAATGTAGTAGAGATTGAGAAATGTACTAGGATTGTGTGAAATGCAGTAAAAGATATGACAAAGTTTGAAAATGATTTAAAAAAATAGAGTTTGCTCACGAGCTTTATTTTGGGTTATGAGTAAGTTTCTAAAATAAAGAAGGAAGATGGAAAGTCTAATACGTTTATATAAATCAAACTGGTTCAGATATTAACCTCCGTAAAAAAATAATAACATTAACCTCTGTAAAAATTACGGAGATTATTAACCTTTAGATTTTTTCAACTTTGTTCCTAGGCACGAGTATGAGACTTAACTGTGGTTAAATTTTGAGTGCGCCCGAAGCTTTGTTGTGAAATAGTGTAATTCAAGTTGGTATAATCGGTCATGTCATAAGTGTAACCGATTACCACCAATTCAACAACATTCAGAATCAAATTGAAGCTTTTTGTTATCGGTTACAGGTTTAGTGTAACCAGTTAACACCCTTCAAACCTTTATATTTTTTAGACAATAGTTTTCTGTAATCGATTATAGGGTTGAAAAGTTAGTTTTCATTTTAGTTGGTTAGGTACATTGATATGGATTACTGTATATATACCCCATGTTGGGTTATTGATGAAATACCACCACTTTCACCCTAATTTCTCTCTACTTTTCTCATTCTCTCAATCTCTCTATTATTCATCATTTTATCTTGTGATTGGGGTTTCCTCCAACATTTGGCATCAAGAGCTTGGTTCTTTGATTGAACCCATAGTGTGCGAAAATACTTTCCATCTTCAAAGAATGTATTCTTGTAAATCTCTCAGTTTTCTATGCAAAGAATTACGACAAGTGGTGCAAATATATGGAGGTGATGTTTGGTTATCAAGATGTTCTTGAAGTGATCAAGAATGATATTAATCCACTTATAAAAGATGCAACGACTACACAAAGAGCTACACACAAGGAAGAAAATACAATGTCTAAGATCATATGTTCAACATCTTATATCAAATTTGACATATAATAGAAAATAAATCATATGATGATAAAGAACACAAAAGATTCTTAAACTAGTTCGGTGCAACGTCTCCTACGTCTAGGGGACTTCCAACCCAAGAAAGAAAATTCACTCTCAAAAGTATCAGTACAAAGTATCTTAGATGAAGAACCCTTGTTCAATGCCCATCTTCCTAATACTATCCGTGTATTTCTATTCAAGACTCTGTATAGAACAATTCCACTCTCAAAAGTCAGAAGGACAAATGAACTTACTTTGAACTTTCCCAGTTCAAAGCCACTTTCTTAATACTACACGTGAAGCTTTATTTAGGATCCCCTAAAATAAGAGGTTTCTCTCACTTTCACTCGAACACTCTCCCTGTGTTTGGACAATTACAATATGATTGAAAATATGGATGGCATAACAATCTTACAATACAATACTCTATTGTGCTAATTTAGATTCGAAGCACATGAATAGGATATACAAAATACAAAAAAAAAATCAAAGACTCAACTAAAACAAAATTATTTTAATGAGTCGATATTTTCTCTTGAGGTATGAGTCTTCACAAAGGAGATGAACTCCTTATATATCCATAAAAGTCCAGCTCCAAAAGCCTATCATGAATTCAATTGGACTTCTAAAGCGCACATGAGATCAATCTTCAATAGTGATGATTTCCAATATTGATTGATCTCCTTAAATAAATCTTAATCTTTTGATCATACTTGCAATATTTGACTCAGGTCACATTCTACAAAAACTCAAATAATCAATCAAATCTTTATTAGAAAGATTAAGATCCTTTTTCAAATTAAGCATTCCACATGCAATATTGTTAGAATAAGATATTTTACAAATTCAAACTCAAACTAGCACACTTATATATTTTATATAAAAGAAAAGGAAACAAAACTTAAAAGGACAAGATATACTTCAATTTATCTTTCTCACCAAGTAACTGTCTGAGACAGATGTCTCACAGATCGTTGGAACATATGGCCTGACATCTGTGCATGTAACAAGTTTATGAATCTTGAACAAATAAATCTAAATCTTTACTTGATATAAAATATATTTTCAACTTCTAAAGTAAAGTATTCAAAATAAATCTAAATCTTTACTTGATATAAAACATAATTTCAACTTCTCAACTAAAGAATTCAAAATAAGTCTCTTGCACAAATTGAATCACACTTTAAATCATTTTTAATTGAGATTGAAGATTTTCTCAATAAGTGGAAATTCAAATCTTGTAATTTAAAAAAATACAGTAAGATCTCTTCATGGAATATAAACCTTCAATCTATATCTTTGCGTATAAATTTCAAAGTAATCTTGGATATGTAAATCAAAACCAAATATTCCTTCAAAGCAAATCCAATCAAACTGAATCTTATTTAAATCAAATAAAAATATTTTTAATTAAACCATATCCAGTTAAATATTCTTTAACCTTTATGGAAAGTGATTTGATAAAATCTTTTTCCATTCAGATTTGGATTAACAAGATTCTTTCAAAAGCAATCTTCTTAGAAACAAACACAATCATACTCAGATTTAATCACTAAACCTAGCTGACAGATTGAGTCAAATATTACATCTCATGCTAAAACATCTTGTCTCACACAATGTATTTTCACAATTTACATATTGTATTGTCTATGTTGTTTTACCTAAAACAGCCAATCAAAGTAACAACAAAATCTTTGTATCCCATTCCTCAATGTGTTCATGCAGATAATTTTGATAAGGTTGATGATTGCATATCCTCAAAGAAAATTGGTAAATTTTGGGGAAAAGTTATGCATGATATGATAAATAAAAGGTAGATAGGTTACAAACTCATAAGAGGAACCTAGAGTTTGTTTAAATGGAGGAGAAGGATACCATTAGTGAACTTACTACAAGAATCACAAGATTGGTTAATCAAGTGAAAGTGTGTGAAGAGACAATCACCGAGTAGTATGTGGTTGGTAAAGGCTTGAGATTGTTAACATTAAGATTTTATAATGTAATGGTTGCTATTATAGAGTCCAAATATATTTCAACCATGAGAAAAGAAGATTTATAAAGTTCTCTTGAGGCTCATGAGTTGAGAATGAAGGAGAGGAATGTTGACAAGATAAAGGATGAGGTTGCTTTGCAAACTCATTTTGTTGGAAATGATAAGAATGTGAAGGGAAAGTGGTCCATGAGTACAGATAAAGGAAACTATCACAACAATGATGATAAAGACTCCCAAAATCCCAACAATTTAAGATTCCAAAAGGCTGAAAGAAACTGCAACAGAGGTAGTGGATCAAATAATTACAAAGGGGTAATAATAAATGAGGAGGAGAAGGGGGAACATGGAAAATGACAAGAGCAACGTCCAATGCTACAATTGTCAAAAGCTTGGAAATTTTGCTCGTTGCCAACAAAAATGATCCACAAGAAGCTGAAGCAAAGTTTACAAGGCAAGAATATGACGAGAGCATGTTGTTAATGGTGATTGTTAAAGCATAAAACATCACACGAAAATGTAGCCAAAATTGGGTATAAACACTTGAAAACGTGATGTTAACTATGTGAGAAGATGTAGAATGCAACAATCAATGAAACCTTGACTCCAAGTGTTCTACACACATGACATGAAGGAAGGATTAGTTTGCTAAAATCAATCAAGTGTTAAAAACAAGGTAAAATCCGTGGATAATAACACACTTGTCGTAAGATGTGTCTATGTGTTAGCTTTCCAACGCATATAATT